GCCCGAAACTCATTTTTCATCCCGGTCGACATGGTGGGACCCGTATTGACCCGATGGACTTGGTTTTGATAGAAAATGACGGTTGACTCGAGAAAATATATTTTAAACTCTTTTTTTTCTCTTTTTTTATTTATTATATATTTTTTTATCATGAATAATAAGATAAAATAACATTCAAAAATTTTTAGTGAATCCAAAATTGGGTTACAACAACAATAATAATAGTTGGATTTAGTTTTATTAACGTTGACGATTCCTCTTCAAACATGTTGCAGCTTAATATGGTAAAGAGATTTACCTAAACATGTTAGAATGAGAGATCTCTAAACTTCTTTCATATAGGATCAATAGACATAGCTACTCATCTAAGTAGAATTTACGATCACACAAGAGTATCTCGATTAAATATTTCTATATAGTTTTTTAATTATTTCTTAAATTGGCAATAGCACTATAGTTTTTGCCAAGATTTCAGGAGTTCGGACTCTGCAAAAAAAAAAAAAAAATCTTTCTAAGTCCCTCTAGTTTTCTATCTTGTAATATGTTATTGGATTGGATATATTAAAATAAAAAATTAGAACAAACACGAGGTTGTTTTATTATCTATCTTGTTATATATAATATATTTGTAAAGTTAGCACTCTTTAACAAGTTAAATTATTTTATTAATTAAAATATTAGTCTAATATCACACCATGTTTAGTGAATGCCTAGTATAATTGATTTTCATAATCATCTTGACGATTGATTATTTATTTTTTTTGTTTGGTGGCAGACAGAAATATAATTTCTCAAATAGCTAATATATTCAAAATTAAATGTGCATGCACTATGCTTGCAATTCTTGAACGACCCCCAAAAATTAGAACGAATAACGTATGGCAACTTGGATTCTAATTTTGCAATTCTAATTTTTAATTCTAAGATTTGAATTTCTATGCCTTTTTAGAAGGATGGATATAAATAAATCATTATTTTCACATTAGCTATATCTAGAGAAATTATAACTTACTATTTTTAAAAATAGATAGCACCGATAGTGTTCTTAAGCTCCTACCTTCAAGCCATGGATATTACTAAAAACAAAATATTAAAATTATAAAAGAATTTTTATTTTTTCCCACAAAATCTTAATTTGTCAGGAAGGATCCCTTTTCAGCCATTGAATAATTTAGTTATCGGAGGTTGAAAGCATGACGCACATCACATCACCACCAAATTCAACCCACAAGTAATTAGCATAATGCATTAACATTAGTAAGTCTTTTCATAATCAAATCATAGTTTAAGGTGTAAACCTTCAATTTTATATGGTGACCACAGAATCATACTGAAAAATATTACTATACCTTTATGAATTAATATATTCTTAAAATAAAGTTATTAGCACTATGTACATTATTCTTTCGTTATAGGTGAAAAGTCTTTTTTATACTCATTAAACTTGGATTAATCTTGGGATTGATTGATTCGGATATAAATAACTTGAGTTGAAAAAAAAAAACTTGAGTTTATTTTATAAAAAAATTAAATAAATTCATGATTTCAACAACTCAACAAAAACTTGTGAATTTTGTTTTTAATAAAGACGTTGATTTGATGTTTTTCTTGAAGGGTAAGAGCCGAGCCTTTCCCCATATCTCCTACATTCAGATTAGAGAGCCCCAATACTGTTCAGAACACGTGAAGGCCCATCACCAAGTTCTGACTAGGCAAAGATTCATCAACTGGATCACTTCTAAGCACAACAATGCTATTCAATTCGAACTGTGATTTCTTAATCCATATCCCTCTATCTCCAGCAACAACAAGGATATGCCAAGATTTCCCATCGTGTAGTCGTAATCCCCCGGAAAAATTATCTTCCTGCCTGCCTGCCTGCCTGGTCATGCTCCACATCATCTATCTGTCACCTAGTTTTTTTCCCAATAAAAAAGGAAAAAAAATGAATGAATCACAAAAAAAATATATTAAATGGAAAAGGATATGGGGTACCAGAATAAACAACCACACCAAGCCCCTTGTAAGTCCAGCTTGTCCTTTAAAAAAAAAAATATATAAAATAAAAAAATCCTAAATGTTTTGTAGCTTGTTGGTTGGGTATTGTTGCAGTGATTTTTTTAAATTATTTTTTATTTAAAAATATATTGAAATAATATTTTTTAAAAAATATGTCATAATTTTTTTTAAATTTTTAAATACTTTTAAAATATAAAAACAAATATGTACCATTCAAATAAATATTTCCCTTTCTTTATTAATTAACACATCTAAAAGCGGAACAAACATATCAAACTTACATGGTTTATGTTTAGTGTGAACACTGAATTCAAGTCTTTTTAGCCTAATCCCAATCTCAAGTCTTTTAGGTTTGATATAGCTACTAAATTTAAGTTATTTAGGGTTGATATAATTGTTAGATTCATGACTATTAATTTTAAAGGGATTAAATATTTTTTATATTTTGTTATATTTCTTTTAAAAAATATATCGACCCACACTAATTGATATAATTAAATGAATATAGAAGTTGTATATATTTTTTTAAAATTAACCAATGCCATTGATTGATCAACTAAATTACAACCTCTGTTAAAATTAAAGAGAAGCTGTCCAATCGTCCAACTTGAGCTCCTTCTTGGTTTTCATGGGCCGCTCACCATTTGTTTTTGGTGCCGTTGACAACAGAAAGAGAGAAAGAGGGTAAAATTCTTAACAAGTCAAGCTGTAGACTTTTGATGCAAACCATAATTATTGATTAACCACGAATTACAGCACGAATGACGAAACTTCATAACATCAAACGAAAAACAAAATCTAAAAGCACTGGCGCAACACACGTCACGATTAACAGAAGTGATAAACTACATATGTTAGAAGCTTCAAACCACTCTTTTCCCAGAAAACGTAGTGACCTAATAACGTAGAAGCTATAGGATAAACCATGTCAAGGTGACGAGCAGGATGAGAGATCCAACAACAGTTCCAGTTCCTGTCCAAATATTTTTGAAGTACACACTTACCAAGTACGCCTTGTTTTTATTCCAGGAGCTCTCATAGTAATCATTCAGCAGTTTGGACAGAAGGTCAAAAGTGGAAGAAACTTCTACCATTTCCCGGCAAAGTCCGTTAATAAGCTCCGCCACCGCTTTACTGTCACCTAGCTTGCTAACAATAACTTTATTTTCGATGAGCAAATCCACATCGTTTTCAAGATCCACGAGAAAATCTAGTAGCTTAACATAACGGCAAATGTACTCTTCTCCTGGATAATGTAACTGCTCCAACGCAATGAGGTTTCGGAGGAGACATTCGGTATTGTTGTCTATTTCAAGGGAAGGCATAATTAACTTACCTTTCTTATCTGAAAGCGGTGTCTGACCTTTCGAGAGAGTTTTTATCGGTTCTGCCTTGTCAATTTTTAAATCCGGGTGCTTGAATGATAGAAAACATCTCACCAAATCTGTGAAATGTAGTATTTTTTTGCTGGGCTCGGAATTCTTTTTGTACTTGTCAAAGTACCGGCAGGAAAGGTACATGAAAGGTTTGCAAGCGGTCTCGCTCATCGCACAATCATATAATTCATTGAGAGTAGAGAATGGCAGCTGATTTTCAAGCAATATCAAGTCCCGTCGAATCGCAGCTCTCAACCAGGGCTGGCCTATTATAAAATCGTCTTGATATTTGCTGCTATCACCCAGGTATTCTTCATTCCTCAAGAAGAGCTCGAAGATGAATACAGCATCTAACAGAACCATCATCACAAACTGATCGCCGCTAAGCTTCGAGGAATCAGCTGCATAGCAACGGCGTATGTGATCTTCTTGACCTGAAATGGTTCTCAAAAGTGTTTCCAAATGTCCTTCTTGCTCCCTTTCCACTCTCAGTCTACAAAATTCTTTCAGATATCTCCGTTTCTGAATTTCCATAGCCACCAATTTTTCGCTATAATGATGAATAGGGCCTATAGAGATTACTCGAGGAGTGTAGGCATCTTCCTTTCTATCACGAAGTGCTGAAGGAACTTCATAGAAACACTGCTCAGACCGAAAGCTAGTCTCCAAGTCATCTCGAATAATAATTAAAATATCTTGGCGCGGCTTTTCAATTGGAATTGAAGGAATTTTTAATCGATCGTTTTCTCCCATTTGTTGGAGTTTTCTGATCATGTGACAAATAAACAACTGTAATTAACTAGTGATGAAATTAACTTCAAATTAAGCAGCAGAAGGAAAAGGTACTAAAATAAATTACAAGCAAGTTAATAATCAGTATTGCCGTACTCGGGGTTCGATTTAAAAAAAATCTCATGGCAACTTATTTAATCATGCATGAAATTATTCTGTCTTCGGAAGCAAAATTAATGGAACAAATTAAGGAATTTGAACAGTAACGAGACAAAACTAGCTAGTACGCAAAGAATCTTAGTACCTTTGTCTGAAAAGCGGAGGCACTTGATTTCCTGGATGCTATACTAATTCACCCTCTACCTGTGTCTCTCTTGTACTCCTATGTACAAGTAGGTATGAGTTCTTCTGTCTCTTCACTCTCGTTATATCCCCTTTATTTCTATGCAATATTCAAGTTTAATTCACTCTTTATTTATTAATTAAGAAAATGAGTGTAAATATACAATAATAACTGGGGTGTAGCTTTTAAACTTTAAATTTGTTTTTAAAAAATTATTAATTTTAAAATTATAAATTTCAGGATAATTAAAAAATTATATAATTTCATTAGTTTAAAAACTTGAGGGATTAGTAGAAATACATATAAATTAATCTCTATATCCATGATTAACCAAAAAACAAGAAGACAAAAAAGGTGTAACCTATCTGAAAAATATTTCATAATTCTTTTATATCTATGTTTGTAAGCACCATATCTCATTCAAATTATAATATCTTTAAGATTAGGGTTTATGAAATAGAGAAATTTTATAATATTTATGTTGTAACTAGTAAAATTCTAAAATTACAGTTTCGTTTTAATAAGAAAGGTATAGCATTGTTAAATAATTAAAAGCAGTGTCATGTTATTAATAAAAAAATCATACTGATCTTTTTCAACCCACTCTTTCTCTCCATCTCTTTCAAAAAAGAAACAAGATTGAAAAAAAGAGAGGAAAAACAACACAAATTTCCTTTTTGTCAGTTGTACTTTGAATCTCCCCAAAACAAATTATCATGCTATTTAATTGTGTTTAATTAAAATATTTAAAAACTTAACAAAAAAACTAAAGTAGAAAAAAATTTCAATTGTAACTCTCCCCGTACCCATGCAGATCTAATTCCTAATTTACTCCTTTTATTAATCAACAAGAAAATCCATCAAAAGTTTACAACTTTAATTTCAAATCTTGTTTTTTCATTCTTTATACCAAAACAAAATTATAAACTAATAAAAACTCATTTTTCTTGGTCAAAGTATTGTACCTAACTCTAATTCATTGATAACTATTTCTTCTTTCTATGGTTTGTAAAATAAAAACACCTATACCATTTTTACATAAATAGAAAGAGCTTGCTGAAACAAGAAAGGTAAAGAGGAAGGAACCAAGCTGGTTTTATTAAGAAGGGAACATTGTTTTTAATTATTTAATGATATGACATGTTTTAACTGTTGAAAATTTAATGAAAAACATGGTTAATGGCATTTAAAGTCAAATTAAACCTTTCAAGTTAAAAAATTTAACTTTTTTAAGGTAGACTATCACAAAATATAATACAAAGTCCATTAAAGGGGATTTTTTTTACGTAACATGTTCCAATTATTTTGAGTGAATGATAAATAGTTAATTCAGATTTGAGTTTAATTAAAAAAGTAAATTTTTAATTATTTTAATATTAAAATATGAAATAAAAAAAATTCTTAATCTAAAAATTTTATCAAAAAATAGAAATAAAAAAAAATAAATATCAAATCTAAAAAAAATAAAATAAAGGAGGGTGAAATTAAAAAAAAATCAAATTCAGAAATTATCTTAAATAAAAAAAACAATAAAAATATCGAAAACCAAATCTGACAAACTAAAAAACTTAAAGGAAGATGAAATTAAAAAACATCTAATTTTAAAAGTTAATTAAAATAAAACAAATAAAAAAAGAATTGAAATCTAAAAATAAATAAATTAAAGTGCTGATATAAAAATCTGAAAAGGTAGATATGAATTTCAATAAGGAGAGGAAAAAAAAATAGATATCGATACCTAATTGGAGGACCATTAACCATACATATTGTCTAATAAAAAAGATGATATTAAAAAAAATTGAATAATGCGATGGAATAATAGTTTTGAACATTAAAATTAGTGGCATGCGCTGCTAGAAAGGAGTAAAGCAATTGACGCGTGTAATGCAAATGTGAGTAGCTTTTTTTTTTTTGTTCTTTTAATCAAAATACCCCATTGTCCATTGGACCATATAACTATTATGAAAATAAAATAAAATTGTGAAATGATGAATAAATCCTTGTACGCACAAGCAATCAGGATCTCACAAGAAGCCCAAATTCGCTGGGCTGATAGGCCAGCTCCTTTTTTATTCTTTAAAAATATATAAAGAAAATATATAAAATGAAAAACCTAGACGACATGGAGGCACTCTCATAAACACTCCCCTTCTCCTACCAGTTTAACACTCATAAAAACCTAGTAGATAAGGTACCAAAAAAAAACAGAGAGAGGGTGTGTTGAAGCTCAACTGCTAACCTCCAGCCAACTTTTAACAACGTGAGTAGGACCAACATAATCTTCTTCCCTAGGTGATCCCAACACCACCACTCCAAACACTACCCGACGTAGGACGCCCCCAATGCACAACTTGAATTCCCATTATATCCTCGTCAAACTCTAGACTTTTCCAGTTTTAGCCTTTAAAAAAATTGGGTGGCAACTCTGCCTTTTAAACTTTATATATTTTCTTGATTTCTTACATATCGAGTGCGACATCATCCAATTCAGGTACCACATCATAACTTGCATCGTTGTCACCGTCCACCTCATCATCAAATTTTGGTTTGATGCATAGATCGATAATGGTAGTTTGAGAGAATAGTTTTCGATCCTCTTTCGTTTATCCACTGATAAAGAAGCAAGCATCGATAAGATAGGAATATGGGATGGTGATGAATGATTCTGGTTCTTCTCCTAAACTAGACCTTTTGCGAGGAAGAAACATTGGTCTATTAGATCAAATGTATGTTGTTCTTTTGAAGGTGCACTTTGACAAAGATGTAAAGGATAAATTAGTTTGGAAAAATAACACTACAGACAGATTCTTAGTTAAATCTCTTAGCGGGTTATTAAGCTCAAATCCCTTCATTGACACTATTTTCATCCTTGTTAGGATTTGAAGAGGAATCATCCCATCTAAAAGAAAGGTTTTTTGTTGAATAGCTATCATCAACAAAATTAACATTCGTAGTATGTTGGTCAGAAGAGGTATTTTGGATATCTCACATAAAGTAGAGGCAATGACTGATTTAGCAGGTGCTTGGTCTAAAGGCCTCTTATATTCTTTTAAAATAATCGGTGATGGTCTGATTGTTTTAGTTTTGGTAGTTTAGTTTGGCAGCTCTGTTTCTATGTGGAGGCAATCCTACATATTAGGGTTGTTGTTCTGTTTTTCTCGTGGTTTGTTGGCCTATACTTCCTCTCCCTGTTCCTTTTTATATTTGCGTGCCTTTGCAGATGTGTATCTCCTTATTCCCGCCTTAAAAGATAAAAAAGAGGCATGTGGGTTGGATACAAATAGCCTAGGCACACACACTAAGTTTGTGAGTTCAACTCACCTTTCTTTTCTTTAAAAATATATTTTAAAAAAATCTAAAATGAAAAAACTTAAATTGACATAGGATACACTATTAGATACTGTTTGGTTAGAGAACTCTTGTTTAGATGGGTAAAAATTCACTATAAAACTACCATAAAAACAAATTTATTTTATTTTTCTGTATTCATCCTTCTAATCAAACACATTTCTACCCTTTTTGTATATTCCCCCCCTTTAAAGACACTAATCAAACTTAATTTATAAACACTATCCTTCTATTACACGTCAAAACACCTAAAAACCTAGTAGACAAGTAAAAAGAAAAATAGAGAGTGTTAAGGTTTAATAGCTAAGCTCCAGCCACCATCTGACAACATAAGCGTGCATAAAGTATAGCAGTTATTATTTTTTAAAATATTTTTTATTTTAAAATATATTTAAATTATTTTTTTAAATTATTTTTATCATTAATATATTAAAATGATCTAAAAACATTAAAAATTATTAATTTAAAATAATTTTTTTAATTTTTAAAAATACTTTTAAAATATAAAATCAAACACAGTTTTAGTCAGACCAACAAAATCTTCTTATCCAAACAATGGGAGTGCCATCAAGCCAAACACTACCTGATGCAGAATGCACCCAACGCATAGCTTGAAGTCCCGTTACCCTCATTTAGCTCGTTTCAAGCGCACTCTCTTCTATCTATTATTTGTTTCAATATAGTCCCTATATATCATTTGTTCTTTAGTCATTTCATGTTAGATTCATATAATAGCAGGGCTCCATGAAAGAAAAGCCAACAAAATCTCAAGGAGGCAGTGCATTGCCTTGATTTGTTAGTTTCAGGGATCAAAATCAGAAAATTAAAAAGTTTGGGGTTAAGTCAGGTTTGACTGGAAGGTTAGGGGGCTTATGATAAGGCAACCTTTTTTTATTGGGTGAAGTATTAAACACATTCTACAAGCCAATGTCTACTAGCATTGAATCTGTGCAAATTTCATCTAGTTCTTGATGTAAAAGATGGATAGTCTACTCAGTTTTACTAGCTTCTTGGTAATTTCAAGAAGGCAATCTTCATATTAGTCCTATACATGTGAGATTTTTTTTTCATTTTCTGAATTTAGCATGGATATGACCGGTGGTGGAGCCACATTGAGGTAAGAATTGCTTTTATGCCTTATTTGTTTTTAAAAAATTATTATTTTTATTTTCTCATGATAAATACAAGGAAAGTTAGTTAAAGAAACTGAAAAAACTGAATTCAGTCAAAGAAAAAAGTAAAATTTCATGGCAGGAAAGTATTTTCCTTTTCTTATATTAAGGAAAACACTTTCCTTTGCTTAAACAAAATAAAACGTGTGCTGTCTCCT